GCAAAGCAAAAATCACTAGTTGCTTTTGGCAACTTAGGCACTGTATGTGAGGGAAAAGGCACAGTACAGAGTTGTGTTTATTTTCTCTCTTTCAGACCCTACTTATACTAAAACTTTTCTTTCCAACGAGTCAGTGTGTAAAATGGAAGAACAAACCAAACCAAAAAACCATCATAATCCACAAAGTATTTTGTATCAGATTTATAATTTCAGCTATTGAAACTTTACCATTGGAAATATAAAAAGTATTCCGTGCCACACTTCCGCACCCCCCAAAATGTAATTTGCTGGCCAACTAAAAGTGACACAATAAAATAAAAGTTGGCTTGGTTCTTAAGTACGAAAAGTTGTTTTTGAAGCCTACAAAATTATGACTTCACATTGTAATTAGGAGGCAATTTAACAACATTTAAACAACAATTATATCGCATTTTCAACCCACTAATTTGCACCACAGCTGTTCTCTTTGCCTCCTATTTTGAAAAAATGACTGTGGAGCTTTAATGATGGCAAAAAATAATATGAATGTAAAAAGAAACTGCTCAGACAACAATAGATATGAAAAGAGCCTTGGTTAGTAGTCTATGGTGAGAATTCTATGGTTAGCATTTATGGCGAGATAAAGGAAATGCATGAGGAAAACATCATTACTGTGATGTTACTTGGCAGCATATGTAGTGTGCAGGTTGCTGACCAGAGGTTGTGAGCATAAGCTACCATAAATGCATTCATGTTGGTACGTCCTCTCCAGATATCTTGGAATGGGGTTATTCTAAGAGGGTCTTGTAATGGGTTATTCTAAGGGGGTCAGTTAATTTGTTACAGTCATGCAGTGTATATTTAATTGAAAGCATAATAGCCAAGAAAATATGGAGACAGAATAGGGATGACTGCATGATTCATGGTTAATGAAGCAAAGCAAACCCATGGTTGGGTTATCTTAGAACAAACAAAAATAGAAGGTGTATTGTTGTGTATTCCTTCCCTGTTGTACAAATATGATTCCATTCAAACTGAAGAATATATTTGTTCCAATTGCAAGGAAGTAAGACAGCAAAAAGTCCTGTTTCTCCCAGCTGACAGACTCCTATTGACTCAACTCCTTTTTTTTTTTTTGCTTTCTGCAGCCTAGAGGCATAGGACCCCCGTGTTGGTTCATACACAGCGTTCCTCTGGCATCTGACTCTTTTACACTTTTCTAATCTCCTGGACAGCAGGAAGGAAATTGAGATGATCATAGAATCATAGAATATCAGGATTGGCAGGGACCTCTGGAGGTCATCTAGTCCAACCCCCTGCTCAAAGCAGGACCAGTCCCCAACTAAATCATCCCAGCCGGGGCTTTGTCAAGCTGGGCCTTAAAAACCTCTAAGGAAGGAGATTCCACCACCTCCCTAGGGAACCCATTCCAGTGATCAGAGGACAGATGAAGAAAAAAAAGGAGCACTAAGCGATAGGTAGCGAACTCCCATCCCTGATTCAGGGTCCTTGCTGTTTCCGAGAGTGCCCCTCTTAGATCATCACTCCCTAGTTCTCGATTCACAAAGGACTAGTCTGCAATCATCAGTTTTGCCTGAAACCTCTGCCTTCTCCACAGATTCCTGCTTATCTCCCTTCAGTCCTTGCCTCTGCCCCACCTTTTTGGAGTAGGCCAGGAATGTTCCCTGAATGTAGCATTTTAGGGGAAGAGGGTTTTCTTTTGAGCACAGGATCCTGCCTTTGAGTGCGCTGGTTCTTCCGTGGTGCAGTAATAGCCACTGCTACTAGTTCTGATCAGCAGCTGTCAGCTTGGGAAGCATCTTTCCCCAACCTTGATCTGTCTCCTTCTCAGTTGCGGTCTTGTTGCTAGATCCCAGCCCCAAGAAAAAAAGCCTGACGAATGACATTATGTTTGGAGAACAGGCAAGACCAGTAGTGTTCAGATCTCAGTGAGCAGCTCTCCACCTCTTGTATCCAACATCTTTTCCCTGCTTAAAAGGCTATACTCTAGTGCCCCAAATCCACCTCTGAGATCCTACAGCTTGCAGAAGATTGGTTGGCAGTGATCCCAACTCACAGACTATATTCAAGTGCCTACTGCAGGTCTCGATGTCTCTCTGCTGCCATGAACACACCCTTGTTCTGGTTTCTCTTCCCCTAGCAGCTCCTCTTTTCTCTTGGTGAAAAGGCTTAGGGAGGCAGTTGCAAAATTTGGTAGCTTCCTTCCCTCTATAAATCTATCCTGTATACCTTCGTGATGAACAGATAAGTACATAAGCCTCTTGCTAACCCTAGATAGACAGTGCATACAGTACACCCGCTCCTTTCTCAGAGGAATCATCGCAAATATCCCTAGAAGTGGATGTGAAAGTCCTGAAACTCTCCTCCAGATCAGCCTTTCTAATGGGCACCATAAATTGAGCCATCTGTCAGACGCTATGGAAGAGCGGTGGAAGCTGGCATGCCTCTGGAGGTTGCATTTCACACTGTTTTGCAGCTCAGGCTGCCCAAGGGAGAGGATTTTTTTGCACACAGCTGGGACAGGATTGAGGCATTTTCTTGCTGTCTCCTCCAAGTCCTCTTCATCCCCCTGCCTTGGACGGTGCTTTCCATGCCGCTTTTATCATCCTCCGTTCTAGACCTGGCAGCAGCCACAGCTGGCTCAGAAACGACAGCTCTGTTCCCAGAGCAGCTCTGCCCTTCAGAAGTAGAAAGCTATTTGGCAAGGACTTAAAGAACACAGCCAGGTACTTCCAGCCTCCAACCAGAGCCCCATGCTCTACCACACTCATCCAGCATCGTTATTTTATTCCCAGAGGAACTGTAGAGCGGTTGGGGATTATTTCCTCTCCGTCCACGTTTCCTCTTTCCTTTGGGGTTGTTTGAAGATCCAGGGTACCCACCAAATTTTGCCTTCAGATGCCCCTGCATGGCTCCAAAAGGCCCTATTTTGGCCCTGGAGGCTAACTTAAACCTTCCCCGCTCCAAATCAGGATAAAATTCTCAGCAGGTTTCTCCCAAGCTGTCTAGCCTCATCAGCCCTGAAGGGGAGAGAGCTTTCCAGGCCTGCAGCTTCCCCTGTTATTGGGGCATGAGGGACAACATTTTGAGCAGGCAGGCGCTGAAAGCTCCTTGGACACACTGGCCTTCAAATGGCATACGTTGGGACTTCTCCAGTCCCCTTGGCTCTCCAGATTCAGGAGCCAATCCTCTGCTCAGCGTGATGATCCAGGCTTCAGCTCTGGGAGCTCAGCTCCAGGAGCTCGTCAAGGAAATTACCGCAAAAGCAACTAACAGCTATGCTGTTCTTAGTATTGTTTCCTGATTCCCCCAAAAGAGGCAATTCATAGCTCATTTTGGAGGCTTCTCAGTCATAAACCTCATTTCCTGAAGCAGATTGCAGACAGAGGGCTATCCTGTAGGGCCTGCCTTCTGAATCCTTGCTTTGTTTGATGGGCCGGAAAGGTATTGATGTTTGCTTGTCATTGTCCACACCTCATACCAGCAGTTATTTCGGTTTTGCAGACAAGCCTTTTCAGTTCTATCTTTTTTGTCTTGATTTAGCCTGTTGATTCCACTGCGCTGCACTGTTCAGGGATAACACCTCTCCCTTCCTGGACAGTCTCTTTCACTAGAGAATTAAAGACAATATTGTGATGCATACGCACAGGGGGGCTGAATTAAGCCTGCACTGTTTGCTGACATGAGAGGAATGTAGATTCAGGATTCCAGGTTCTGCAGAGGAGGGTGTTCTAGTGGTTACAGTCCATTTCTGCTTCTGCCGCCAGCCTGTTCCTGTCCCTCAATACTCCTACTCACTCATCCCACTGACTAGGGGGAAAAAGGGGACTGTCTTTGAGATTGGTGTGTGGTAAAGCTGCATGCACTTTTTGGAGGCAAAGTTTTTTCTCCCCACTTTGTCTTACATTTCCCCCCTACCCCGCCTTTTTCCAGTTCAAAAAAAATGGGTCACATTTTTTAAAAGTAAGAATAAGTGGAATTTTTTCCTCACTGAAACCAAATAAAGTAGTTCAACTAAATTCAATTGATTTTTTATCAAAAACAATTTTTAAAAAATTGAATTGAAATGAAACCTTTTTTCAAAAATTTTCAAGGCAAAAAATATTAGTTTTGACCAGCTTCTAGTGTGCGCAGACCTGGTGTGAGAGCCTCACTGCTATGCTGGCCTATGGCAGCAGTTAAAAGAATCCCTGTACCAATTCCCATTGCATAGGCTCTATAGAAGATTGCACTGCCCTTCAAGCAGTCCCTTGAAAGCCCTGGCATATGAGGTATGCTGGGGGGTAGAGTTTGGAGAAGAGGAGGTGAGTCAGGAGCAGGGGCCACATCTGGAACAGGGCCTCAGCATGCAGCTCTACCGAGCTTGCAGGCAATGCCAGGGCCCATAGGACACCCCAGAGAGGCTTCCAGAACTTAGAGAGGCCCCCAGGGCTATGTAAAAGAGGCCAAGGGCCTCTCCATCTCCTGGAGCAGCTCAGGATTGGGAGGGCACAAAGGTGGTTTAAAGCCACCTTAGCTCACCCGCTGCCTGAGTTCAAAGTTCCCATAGTTTTTACCCTGTCCTCGCTGGTTGATAAGAGTGGAAAAGGAAACCTTCTCTGTATAGCCCAGGCTGCTTAGAAATGGTGGCACCCCACACCCTTCCCTGCTCTGCAGTGTCTCTGGGATGAGCCTGCCTTCTGCATGCATACGTCAGTCTCTCTGTACAATCTGTCCTTTCAAAAATTAAACCAAGGATATTGGCAAGACACACTCATCTCTCAGCAAGTGCAGCACCCATTCTTAATCAACTAAGGACAAATCTTGCAGGCGCTACTCAGGTAATACTCCCATTAACACTGAAGGCTTGCTGACTTCATTGGAAGTTTTGCTTGAGTAGGAATGGCCGGAATTGACCCCTCTTCAGTAAACCTCACTGTTGTGCATGTTTTTCCCCATTAGTTCATACAGCTCATGTGACTTCTTCTTATATCCATCATTCCATTTTTCTTTCCTATTAGAGTGAACTTGGACACAGCCCTCCTCCTGCCTACACCCCTATGTCAGGAGTAAGTATTTCACAATCAACCTTCATCCTTTAGGTTTTTTCGGCTTTTTAAACCTTCTGTTTACTCCCCTATTCTCTTCATAAATTGCCCAATTTACTCCAGTGCCAACAGTGACTAGAATTAATACATAGGTTGGGCAAACCTACAAGGTCTCTCTAATCCCAGTCTGGATTCATCAGGAAGCCCAGAGTTCTATGGTACTATGCATCCCAAATGGGTGATCATAGTTCATAAAAAGGATCTAGGTAAAGTGCTTTGATGATTGTCTGTTTTGTCACGATTCTGAACGTGATGTGCTCATCCTGACGAGCAGTTATTAGGTTGAGCCAAAGCAATGAGTTGATGCACCAATGGGAAAGCATCTTACCAAGCTAAAATTCAGTTCCCAATGGAAGAAGTGTATAGTTTACATGACTGCTCTTTGACTGTTGCTACTTGTTTACACCAAAACCAGGCCCACTCTGAATAAAGACAGTTCAGAGATGGAGGCTTTTTCTCTCCTCTCTGGAGGAAGGTTTCCACCAGGTCAGGTTTAAGGTTTGTTGTTAGGAGAGCAGTTGTTCTTGCAGCCCAGTAGTTAAGGAGACCTACACATTATGGTCCCTGCTACTGTATATCTCAGTATTAGGCCTTGCACAGACTGGGGACTTGCCCTACTACCAGCTGTTGGTGGCCAGCAATTTGTGTAGTTGCATTCATGTAAACAGGCAAAACCATTATTGTCTCTGCTGGAGTTCCAGTCTGGCCGAAACCCAGGTACGCACCACCAGTGCAAATAGAGGCTTTGTGTATCTTCACCAGAGGTTGTAATGGTGGCAAGCCTCCCCGGCCTAGACAAGACTTTGACCATTCAATAAAATGAAACATTGATGTGAAACCAAAGGAGCTTCCACACCTGTGTTTAGTCATTTGCTTTATTTTGTCCTTCTCTCTTGCACCACTTTGTCTTTCTCACAGAACCAGTTTGTGTACAGAGGCGGCGGCTTTGCTACAGAACAAGGAGTGCCTGCGCCATACAGAGCTGTCAGCTGCATAACTCCGGAGGTGCCAGCCATCCAGGGGGCCACGGCAGAGATCTTTGACGACACTTGCTGTAATGGTACACTACGGAAGCAGGTGGCCACCCTCGCACAAGAGGACAGCAGCACTCAGAGGTACAGCGCTGACCCAACAGTGTTTGTACCTGAGCGGGGCCAACGGGGCGAGCTGGATGAAGATGGGTACATGACTCCGATGCGAGACAAACCCACAACAGGTAAACCTCTAGCATTTTGCGGTGAAAGATCTGACTGAGCTAATCACAAATTTTTGGCTGAAATACACACACACCCAATTCCAGTGTGTATAATTACATGTTCCTACTGTACCTAAATTCCTTCTGTGTTTTCCATTGGAGAAGTTATTGTGGACTTTCCTGCGTTTCTAAAGAACTTACGTGACTGGTGCTGTTGAACAGCAGCTAAATTCCATGGCCCAATATATAGAGCTGGATTGTGACTTCACAGGTGCCAAGGGGAGGTGAAAAGGATGCAAGGAGCTTTGCTCATCTGCACCCTCATTCAGCAAAGCACTTGAGTGTGTGCTTAACTCTAAGCATGTCTTTAAGTGCTTTGAAGAATTAGGGCTCAAGAGAGGTGCTAGTGAAAAACCTTGTATAAATTATCTGATTGGACTGTTTGAGATTAGACAGTAGCCTTCTGAGACGGGGAAGGAAGAATTGAGAGTGGGGATTAGTTGCTTTGGAACAAGGTGTAGCCTGATAGATTTTTATATTGATTATTGATTAATCTCTGAGCCTGCAATGGTCGATATGTGTTCAGTCTCGGCAACGGCTACAGCATCAGGAAGATTGTTACCAATATTATTAGAATGAGCGAGCCGAGGAATACACAAGAAAGAATTGCAGTTTATCACGAGTCCCTTTATTAACAAATCCACTGAGCTGATAAACAATCCTGCAAACAGTGAAATACAACAGCAGACAGAGAGGTAGTACAAAGTGTCTGGCCTTCTGATTGTCATCACTCACAATTCCAGAATGGGAGTCATTAACTTCCTCAGCATCATCTTCATCATCCTCTCCCATGTCACACAGGCTGGTTTATGCCTTTTATAATGAGTTACACTGACACCCACTGGGGTTCAGACATATTTACGAAGGTTTCAACCCCTTTTCCTTTAGTGCTTCCACACTCCATTAAATTTGAGGTGCCCTGTTTTTCACAGGCTAACTTGTTAGTTCCCAATATACTCATTAACATTTAGGTCCCTCAGTCACCATAACAACTTGTGGTTAGCACATCTGCTGACATCCTAGGTCTGCAAAAATCCCCAAATCCTTCTGACCAGGTCCATTGCAATATACATTTCCTAAATACCAGCAGGTAACACATCTATTACTGTAACTGTTTCAGCTTCTGACACAAGGTCATTCATTGGTTAGCTGCTCATGTCAGCCTATCTAGGCCTGAGGCCTTGTTTGGCTAAGCTAAATATCTTACAGACCTAAGGCCTCTTGGCCCTCTGTTATAACATTAATTAATACTGATATTTCACCTCTATATCCTAAATGTACCTGACCTCTTTAATCCTTGGCTACAATGGAATATCGCACATTGCACCCTCTCCAGAGGTTCACCGTGAGCTACCCCATCCCCTGTTCCTTGGAGACAACAGAAGGGTTACCGTACGTCCTCTTTTTCCCGGACATGTCCGGCTTTTCTGCAGTCAAACCCCCGTCCGGGGGGAATTGCCAAAAAGCCGAACATGTCCGGGAAAATGGCGGCTCTGCTCCCCCCCCCCTCGTCGGCACTGTTTAAGAGCCGGGCTGCCCGAGCGCTACCGGCTTCGGGCAGCTCCATGCCTCCAGACCCTGCGCCGCCGGAGCCCGGGAGGGGAAGCGTCCAGCCGGGGGCGCAGGGTCTGGAGGCATGGAGCTGCCCGAAGCCGGTAGCGCTCGGGCAGCCCGGCTCATAAACAGAGCCGGAGAGGCGGGGGGGGGGCGCGGGCCCGCCATTCTCCGGGACATGTTCGGCTTTTTGGCAATTCCCCCCGGACGGGGGTTTGACTGCAGAAAAGCCGGACATGTCCGGGAAAATGGCGGCTCTGCTCCTCCCCGACTCTTCGGCTCTGTTTAAGAGCCGGGCTGCCCGAGCGCTACCGGCTTCGGGCAGCCCCCGTGCCTCCGGACCCTGCGCCGCCGGAGCCCAGGAGGGGAAGTGCCCGGCTGGGGGCGCAGGGTCCGGAGGCACGGGG